TTACTAGAAGAACGGTTAGGAACTCCCTCGGTTCTTTTGTTAGAATGCGCGTCTCGAAGAGCGATTAGCATAGAACAAAGGGGGAATTAGCATACTGTCGACGTTGTGGCGATCGTAATTTGTATAAAATTACATATTCGTTCGAAGACGATTCTATCGATGGGATTTTCGGTAATGTTTTTTTTCAACAAAAAATCCCGATTTATACAGCATTGGCGGGATTTGATATGAATAATAAGTACACTGAAATGAAAACAAATATATATTCAAATTAAAACTACACTATGAAACCATACAACTTCCTGTACCACTTAAACTGCCACGTGCAGAGGTGGGCTTTCGGGCTTAGTCACCTTTATATCTTCACAACTTCTTGTCGACGTCTTGCTTGAGCCTGGAAACCACCACAGACCGCATACATAGGCCGGAGTCGTGATACTTGCCCATCGGCATCATTTCATATTTTCATCATCTCAAATTCTCTCTCTTTTACAATATAACGATTCAATTAAACAACGCACGACTGTCGCTCGAGTCACTGGTTTAACGTGTGAAATCAGGCAAAGATATTATCAATTCATCATATTAGTCAATTTTGGCGCCTTTTGTTGCAATACCAGTAACATTGTTGCGACATTACAAACGCGCACAGTACAACGACTAAGCCCAAAAGTGAAACAAGCAAGCTTATTGCGTGAACAGAAATGAAATATGCTGAAATGTTCGAGTTACGGACATCGAGTTACGAAAACATCGAGTAACAGAAATGACCACGCCCACTTTTGTGAAACCATGCCCAAATTGTAACTCGACATTCAATTAACAGTTAACAGAACTTCGAGTTACGGGCAACATATATTTTGTTTTTTTGTTGAACATCCAAATTCAGTAACTCGAACTTTAAATAACAGTTAACCGAATTTTGAGTTACGGAAGACATAGAATTTGTTGCTGTTTAATGTCCACATTAAAAAATGGTGGAAAAAGTAAAAAATCGAAATAATAACATAGGACTCCAAGCCACTATAGTCTTGGACCCCTATATGTCCCCCATGTACGTGATATTAACTGATAATAGGTGACTCGGTAGCTGATTGCCATCAACTTGCAATTCAACATTACTCGCACTAAACATTTAGTATAAACATTTCAGCATCACCCATGCATTCTACACAAACTAAGAGATAATGTGCATATTTTTGACAAATAATTTATTAAAATATACCAATTTCATTTCATTCAATAAGGAACTGACAAAAGATACTTTACATCAGATTAGATAAAGTAAACATTTAAAAAAAAGTGTAATGATAATGCAGGCAGTGTACACCGCATTTTGTTTTATCTTTCTTTTAATTTTTTTTTACATATTTTTTTAAAATGGTTTGAAGGCAACAGCAGCAGGAATATTATATATTTACAAAAGTACAAACATTATAAGACATTACATTTGTAATGCCACATAAAATGTGATAACATGGACGGTTATTGCTTATTATAAACAAATACAATTGTACAATAATCTAAACTAAAACTGACTGTAATCCACTCAAACCTATATACAAATAAGAGTGTTTCAACTCTCGGTTATCAAAAGAAAAATATGGCGAGAAAAGTCCAGCTTCTAGCATACACTGATCAGCATGACGGTGTCCCTTGCTGATATTTAGTTTACCCAAGAATGTACAAGTTAACTGAAAGAGATTCACCGAATATTTATTGTCATCGGGGCTTGATATTTTATGCCTCAGATTCTTTCTGCTCTCCACCTTCAACTTCTTGAACATTTTCCTTGGTCTCTTCGCCTACAGATAGAAAATAAGACATACTTTTAAAACTATTCCCTTAAAAAGGTTTGTTTGTTTATCAGCAAACTTCAAGATCAGTTTTTGTTGTTTAAAAACATATATAAATGTAATGTTATGCCTTCACATGATCAGGCTAAATTTGAATTGATCAAACATCAATACTATATAAAAGTCGTATAGTACAAGAGTAAATACATATAAATAAGGCATTTCACATATTCGTTTAATTAAAATGATTAAGTCTAAATTGCAGTCCGCCTGAAGTTATAATTAAAATAATGGGCTTTACTCACTGATATAAATGCAGAAACGTGAAACATTCGACAAAATTAAAAGCAGAAAAAGCTCAGTTAATAACTTGAGTGGATACTAATTTAACTTCCCGGCCACCCACAGACTCAGCATAGCCAAACTTAAATCGGTTCAAGCAAGACTTAATACATAATCACATTAGTCAATATTTTTACACCACTATTTCTATATTAACCACAATTGATAAACACACCTTCTGCTGCAGCTTCCTCCGTTTTCTCTTCATCAGCTGCAGCTTCTGCTTGTTCTATGAAAAAAACATAAGTATCAAAAATGACGCACAACTACCCAATGTTAAAAAGAGAACACATAATGAAATGTTTACGATTAATTGACTGCATATATGCTGGAAATAAATGTGGATGAAATGGCTGAAACTAGAAGATGGTAATGAGTGTGTTGACAGAGATTAAAGTTCATGATTTGCAGTTTTTTTTCACATATTACAAATAATTTATAATTTTAAATAAATGTTAGATAACAATTATCACATTAAAAGAAACGTTTCCCAGGTTTATATAGCTATATATTATGGAAGTAGTCTTAGTGTATATATATTACAAACCATATTAAATCATCTATTATTACGCACACGCCAATATGTTAACATTTTGTAATCTTGTACAAAGACTATATTCTCCAGGGTAGCACATATCGATGGGAAGGGCTGTTTTTTTTATACAGAATAAATTAAGAAAACATCAGCCATGAAAAATATATTTTGATATAACATTTGTTCACATGTTTCTATATAATGCATAGTTTTGATTTGTAACTTTTAAAGTTACACTCTCAGGAATAAAAGCATGATATATATTTGATTGTACACATATGTGTATATCATGAGATATCATCTGGAAACTAATTTCTAGTTTTGCAGCTTGGCTGAAATATGGTACCAATTTGTTCTTTTAACATTTAGATAATCAATTGATGAAAACTTGAATATTTGCCAAAAGGTCCAGAATTGTACTACAGAATTATACACAGACCGTGAAACAAAAAGCTCGAAAATTTACAATGGGAAATTACAATTTTTGACAGTTGTTGTAGCAATTACCTGTAATGGGCATCACTAATATTTTGCAATAATCTCTAATGCAGGGTTGGTAACTTTCAGGCAGGAAAGGTAAAATCTAAAAGACCTGCCCTGGTGTCTGGTACACAATTTAGAGAAATTTCAAACAATAACCATAGTACCGTTTCCTGAGTAACATTTGTGTGGATGTGAATATGTTAAAGACGCATGATATATGCAGGTGAAGTGATCGTGGTAAGATGATATGAAATGTATGAAATACACCTTTGAATTACCCCCAAGTTATGTTATATATAGCACCTCAATGTGTTATACAAAGGTTATGCATTTTAACATATGAAGTGCTGTGGATGTTTCAACATGCATATTATCTAGAATTATAAACCTTCTTGCTGTTGTTCTTCTTTATCTTCCCCTTCAGCAACACCCTCGTCTGAAATGTTCAAATGTAATTATTTGCACTGCAGCCTTACAAAATGCATGCATAACTTTCTGAAAAAAAATCTAGTAGTGGAAGTCGCAATCACGGGTATACATATGTAACACGCACACACGCAATCAAGTTTGGGCCACATGGGTCCAATATAAGTCCAAAAACATTGCACAAAAATAATGACATCAGATAGTTTATGTAGGAACATCAAACCTGGTGGTCACTGTGAAAGCTAGTGTGTGTGTCCTTTTTATCAGCGGTTGTGAAAGATAGAGTGATCATGGAAAACGTTTGACAGTCGCAGTAAAGTCAATCTGATTAAAATCTCACGTAGGTAGTCACTACTTTGCATATCTCTCACTGCATCTGACCAACTTTATCCAAATCGCATTAACTTACGAATCAGCAACCAATCAGATATATGATTACAAACAGTTTTTTACTACAATGTATTAGTAAGGGGCACTCTAATTAGTTGACAAATTCTGTATATTGTAAGTGACCCAGGAGGCTATACCTACCTCAGATTTCAATCAGATTACAGTGAAGTAGGTTGAAAATGGAACACAAGACACTACATGACACACAAATAAACAAAGAACTCATAGCACCTGGAGTAAAAAATATTTAAGTTAACTGGAAGTTCTCACCATCTTTTTGTTCAGTGTCATCTCCAGCTGGTGTCTCAGCTTGTTCCCCTGATTCTAGAAAGAGAAATATGCACATGAATAACACAGAACATGTAACACTTAACAAAAGTACCCATATAATGAAACCATGTGTTTTTGTTTTGTCCCCTCACAACATTGCTGTTTGAGAATGTTTGTGATTTCCAGTGATAGCATGCAGTAGTGGACACGATGTGCTCACCGTCTTTCTGTTCTTCTTCATTTGTTTGTTCACCTTGGAATTAATTATGTGAATTAAAACACCAGTCATTGATTGATATTACAAAAAAACATAACACAATCATATAAAACAAAGTAAATGCAACAACAAATGAATAATGCACGAATTGACAAAACAAATGCAGGATATAAGAAAAAAGTGAACATGCAGGGATTGTATACAAAAAAACACACACTTAAGCAATCCACAGGCTCCATACCGCTAATTCCTGAAGATATTTTGGCACCACAAACATAGGATAACACATATTTTCAACCCTTATACCATCCTGATCACGCACACAGGAGTTAGAATGTGTTAGACATGAAACAGACATAACGGAGTCATATGACATAAGTATTGTATTACATAGCATGCTTTATAAGCATACATGCAAATATACAGCCTCAGAGTCTAAACATGCATTAGACTAAATACGAGTATAGGGTGAGCATTTCTGTGACATATTTCCACTACCATATATGGTGCATGGACATGCTCTAGCAACACTTGGTGTCAATGCACAACCCACTAGATGTGAACATTTTACAGTGATAATAGACTTTTAGAATTTAAATTACCCGGTAATCATAATTTCAATAGTTTGGATTCTTAATGAAAGTAATCATAACAGAGCATTTAAATTTTTACAGAAGGAATTTGAATGTTGTTATTTCATTTTCTCTATTTTTTTAAGTGAAACATGTTGCGCAGATCAATTAGTGCCAATCATTACACAACATTTGGTAATATTATGAGACTCCTTATCACTGTACAATTATGAATCAAGCATGAGAAGAAACTACAGCAACGGATAATACATGCTATATCTCACCAACATCACCACTACTACCACCACCCTCCTTTTTGTCATTTTCCTCCACAGCTTCAGCTGTTTCTGTTGCTTCTCCTAATAAACAGGGGTACATGTTGTTAGAATCAGGACAATTGGAAACACAACAGAAATGACAAGGAATAGCTTAGAGCATGCAGACAATGCAAGTTCATTTCTCACCCTCAGTCGTCTCACTGGGTGTTTTTTCAGCTGCTGGCTCAGTTTCTTCCCCTGAGAATTATAGAATTTGGTAGTAGCACTTCAAAGACAACTAATGACGACAAGTTACAAAGCAAACAGAATCAACTAGAACACCCTTGCACATTCAACACATGACAGGAACAAATCATGCAATGTTATTGCACTGATATATAGAAAGTAAAAGTTAGAAGTGACAGAAGCAGGAGAAACAACTGATATCAGTAAATATATCAATATTCACATAGCAGAGATAGGATTGCAGGCAAGGAATCAAAGCCAAGGTATGACAAACTGTGGGTTCAATATTTCCAGTTACCAGTGTTACAAAATACTACACCAGCCAACATGACAGCCAGTAAAATAGAAAGCAACTACATTGTTATTAGGCTTGAACACGGACACAGTGAGTGTATTACTGTGTTACATCAGCGGGATAAACATTTCAACAGCATGTGTATTTAATACATCTATATAGATGGCATTTAGATACAACAGAAGCAATCCTAAAAGTCCATACAAATACTTGATATAATGATTATTTTCTGAATTGGAGAACATGAACTGTCCACAAAATCCATTAAAATGTTTACTGCTCTAATACAGCAATCTGCATTCTTGAAGAATTGTTAATTACAATGCGTTTCAGTAGTATTTAGTATTTCTCATTATATGGTAGTATACATTTGTTTTTTGTTTGGACTTAAAGAATGCACCTGCTGAGTCAATATCATCTTCATCTTCTTCTTCATACTCCTCATATAATTCCTCTTCTTCATCATCCTCATACTCCGCCTCCTGCTCATCCACCTCCTGAGACACCACTCCTTCCTGATAACCTGCTTCACTATAATAACTTTCATAATCTTCTTCATCATCTGTAAATCATCAGCCAGGTCAGTTGGGGGAGGGAGTCCTGCACTCCACTCATAGTAGTCAAGGACGCAGTGAGAATATCACCCACTTCCCAACTTTAATCAGGTATTACAATCTCAATTATATCATAAAGATGATTCTTTAAATACATTGTGCACCTTTACTGGAACTATATTATGTAATGTTTGTGCAATTTGGGTTGATTTAGGGATGGACATTTCCACGTGAACAACTAAAGACTTCTTAAGTATATCAAGTTCAAAAATGGTTATGAGAAACCGCACACCATATGTCTAATTAAAAGACTCATTAAGTGTTATTTGGGAGCATTGATTTTCAGTAACATAATTAGATCACGCGTGAATCATTTCATTGTTGAAACTATCAAAAACTGTCTGAAGATCATTAATTGAACTGTATTTTAACTGACTTGGAGCCTAGCTGTATAACTCTGGTAAACAGAAACAAACACATAAGCATGTTTTTATGCTGATTCTCCTTCAGAAGATAATATGTATCTCGAGAATTGATTAAAATAAAGTTTCTAAAATATTGCCCTACTTTCACAAATATACATGTATAACACTTTCATGGAAGGCCTTAACAATTACACATAGTTTAATGTGCTGACAACCTAAACAATTTTTTTTTTAAAATTAGAAATACTGTAATTAGGAATTTGTTCTACCCTTCTGGCCAGCAATAAATCTTGAGCTTCATTGCCAGCGAATTGGACGTTATTAGTTTAGGATGAAGAAACAAATCTCATCACAGATATACATGTATACAAATAAATCTACAATTGCGATAATATACAAATAAACAAATCTACAATCACAGTAATATACAAACAAACACATCTACAATTGCAGTAACAGACAAACAAATCTACAAATGCAGGAATATAAACAAACTTTGCTTTTAACATACTGTGGACAAAATCAACAATGCACACTAGTTATATCAATCTAAGATACTATAAGTACAAGCATATGATGCACAACAACCATGCATGTGCCATTGATATTATACCTGCTGCTAATTCATACTCATCTTCATACACACCACCACTACCATCTTCATCCTGCGCAGACCCTCCCTTAGTCTTAATATCTTCATCATCCACCCCTCCCTTCTCCTCCACCTCCTTTCCTCCGTTATTCTCTACCTCCTGTTTATCATTCACTTCACTAGATTTTAACCCAGATTTTATTTCCCCTGAAGAATAGTGAAAATCTGCACGTAATATCAAGCCTGAAGGATACCACTATACTAATTAAAATTGAAGATTTCTCGACAAGGTCTTTATTTGAACACTGGAAATACTAATTAAAATTGGTGGTGTCTTGACCAGGTCTTTATTTGAACACAGGAAATACTAAATGTTACCACCACTATGGACAGAAGATATACTGTACTAATCATCATGGAAAATATCACCATTAAATCTACTCAACTAGAGTACATGTATATCATGTATTTATAAAGGAAGCCAGGAAAACACCAAAAACAGCATCTCAAATATCGGAAGATAAAGCTAAAGAGGATTACCAAAACCAATAAAGATTTGCAGGAAAGTTTGGAGACTAAAGAATAGAAGATATATAGAAATGAAAAAGTGATAATATATCTATGATTGAAAGAGGGAAAACAGAATCACCGAAAAGACAACAAATCTAGAATAAACTAAAAATGTTAGTAATACATAATACAAATAATTTAAACAATATCTGGTGTGCTATGATATAAAGCTGATGTCATATAAATAGTGCAATTACAGGGAATACATGCGATAACTGGAAAACAACCTAAAATACTGGGGTAAAACAGTTAGTTTAATAACACAGATAATGGAAACCATTAATAAATCTCAGGAGCTTTACATTAAATTGCATTGGTCACCCAAACTCCTTCCTTCATGAATGTGCATAACCATTTTTAACATCAAACGTGCATACATTCCAGTATGTGCAGTATTCATATTGTTACACAACAATTATGTATACAGTG